ATTATAAATTATATGTACGTATATGTAGCAAAAAAGGGGTATGTATGTTTATATACAGTTTAGTATTACAGTATAGGAAAACCATTAAGATAATGATACGAGCATATAATCGAAAAATATAATATTTTTATTGCTTAAATATTTTTGATATGTAGTATATATGTGTATATTAGATGCATTTATGAAAGGTTTTTTTTAATTTTTTATACCAGTTTTTAGTGTCAAGGTTCATTATAAGATGTATTCACTGTTAAGAGATTATAACTTTTATTATTATATATATATTTTTGCCAAAAAATTTAAAAGTTTTACTGTTGAAAGGTTTCACTGTACGTATTTATGTAAATTCTCACTATAACATATGTAAGAGGATGTAAATAAGCATAGTTTTTATACACACACAATCTAATAAATAATTCGGAAAAATACAAAAAAGAAAAAAGAAAAATTAATGGACCATATATAGTATATATATTAATGGTCGTATATAAAGGCATGATGAACTTTTTGAACTAAAATATGAAAAGATGTGTAGAAAGAAAAAAATCAGAGAAAGGTCGCATTTAAAGTGAATCTAACAAATAATTAAAGACCAAGGATGCAATTTGTACAAAGAAATGAAGTGAAAAACAAATAACAAGGAAAAGCGTGTATCCAATCAAACTTGGTAAAAGGTGATATGCCATTGTAAGTAAGAAAATAATTTATAAATATAAGTTTAGTATTATACGGGTATAATTTTGTTGTTATTATAGTATAGTATATATATAAATATGTAAGTATAAAGTAATACGACTTTTTGGAAACACTAAACAAGTGCTTTAAATTAACAAATGCTAATCAATATAAAAGTAATTTTTTCGACTACAAACTGATATTTTTTCATTAACATCAGAATTAACTACTGTATTATTAATGCACTACAAACTAATTTTTAACTAAGTTTACTACTAAATTTGCAATGTTTTCATTGGATATGGCTTATATTACTTCTTGGCCTCGTGCTCGTAAATTTATGAAAAAACTTTATACTTCATGTAATTATGTAGTCGCTGCAGTGAATGCAATTATTCCACTTGGGGTTGAACCCATAAAACATAAATTAGAATATACTTTATAATACATTCTATCCAATGGTAAGCACCTGAATGGAATATGGAATGTTCAATGCAATACGCATATGCACATAATACACGTGATCCACATGATCGACATCGTTCAACGTTTACAACCGTGAAATACACATCAAGCCATAAGTATACCATACATTAAACTCCCCTTAATTCGCCCGGGCCGTACCTAATCCATAAGATCCGAATATCGGTTGGATGTCTCGCCGACGCTCGATTCATCAACAGCGGTGTTTTGTTGTTCGAGACAAATCCATAGGGTTTTATGTTATTGATGACTGACCGTGTACACAGGATATAAGAAATTAACGAGAACAGCGTGTTTTAATATATTTATATTTGAACTGATCGATGTAAAAAAACAGAAGTTTGTTTTAGCAATTTAAAAAACATGTATTTCTGATGATTCGAAGATAATTTGGATAAAATGATACGATTATAGTTTTGGTTAGATAGGTAAGGTACGTTAATATTTGTAAACTACGATAATATTTAACCATCGTCATTATTATTTATCGAAAACGACAAGGAAATTATGAACGCCGTAGAAAACCGGTTCAAATCGCAGACGTCGAATATTCTATGCGGATAAGTTGGTGCAGCGGTACGAAAAATGCTTGAAAAATACCAAAATGGTAAACGGCGATTATGCTTGGAAGTGAAGTAAATTTTCAGGAAACTAAACGCCATAATAAAAACCTATTTCATGTGATCATTTTTTGTAATGAAATAGCCCTTACTTTTCGAATACGCCTCGAAACAATCGCGATTAAGGGAATTCGAATTATAAAGGGTTCGCGGGAAAAAAATTCGTACTGTAAAGCGTGTCCCACCGACGGGCATTTCGAATAATCGGAATACGAGTACCCGTATTTTATTCTAATTACAGAGGTTTTCTCAGGGAACTCGGCGTTCGATTAATGGAGTTTTTCGAACCATCGGATGGCTACCGCGTAACGGTTTACTGGAAGACAAATTATTATCGCCCACGTTCTTCGTGCATTCTTTTCGTTTCGGCAGCTCTTGTACCGCGCACGGCACTGTTTACAGATCCAAGTACTCGGTTCCTCCTCGTATGCGGTTCATCTGCATATGTATCACGTGCGTGTTGTTGACGATTGTACTGTTGTCTTACAGAATAATACGGTACGAAATCAATGTTATCATACTGTACGTTTTCTGATATTTTTAATTCCTATTATTTTTTTTTTTTCGTTCACCTTGCAACGTCATGGAAAAATCTTACTACTGCAGTTTCGTCGGTGCTCGACTTGGAAAAAAAATTGATAGATATACTCCGACGACGCATACGAATATTGCGTTCCTATCGATATAAAAACTGAGCATAACCGTGTTCACCCCAAGAACGCCCTCGAGGGGGATTTGACTGTCACAATCGCCTCCTCCCAGACCTTTTTTCTTGTTTTTTATTATTTATATTGTACTAGGAAAATACATAAATTTGAATATATGTAAGAAGTTCACCTCTCCCTCCTATAAAAGAGTCTAGCGACGCCACTGGTTCACCGCCTTATGACACCATGTTACCACAGACCAACGAACGTTCCATAACTTATTGTACTCACTTTTAAAGTTTGAACCATAACATTAATAATATAATATAACATATTATAAAAGTGAAATATGCAGTAGCGTGGTAACATCTATAAACCGGTGTTGCACAACATATATTTCGGCGTCTATCTCACGCGTTTCTTTCTCTGGTACACCATCCTTGAAACGTTTTCAAAAACATAAATCGAAGAAAACTAAAAACTATTGAAGATTGAAGCACCTACCTACTTATATTTTACCAACTCAAACCTAGAATTAGCAAATTCTACGACGTTTTTTCCTCTTATTATTATTTTATAATTAATTAAAAACACGGAATGTTGATCTTATTGTCGTGTTATATTCTTATCGACTACCGCGTAATCCACTGCTTTCGTGATGTATTTTTTAACTTGAACATTTGCCATGAGTGTATTTATGGAAAATCTTTACACATCTAAATCCAACCACCCATAACATCTTCACCATGACGCTTGAGTGTCATAAAAACCCTTAAACAAGCTAAAATCAGTCCAACATTCGTATGTGATACAGATAATTGTGAAAATGTAATGTTCCCCACGAATAAAGTATAATATTGATGTTGTCGTGCAGAATATTTTCATCCATTATATACGGTGAAACTAAAATTCAACTATTATTATGGGAAAATAAAAAATGTTAATCGGTTTTGATGTTGTGATGTGGGACAAACATTTTCACAATTAGGAATATAATTTATTGTAACGCAGTGTGTGCTGTAAGTTACGTGAAAAACATTAACAAAAATAATCACTCTTAATAAAATCAGCTGTCCGATTGAGTCAAATATTGAATTGGAAAAAATACATCAATTGTAGATTTTCAAGGTAAATGTTTTAATACCCGTATAATCGATACTAAAATTAATAAAAAAAAAAAAAAAAAAAAACAATAGTTTTGAAATTACGATACAATTAATATCATAATTATTGTGTTTTGTAATATATATTTTTACCCCCGAGTTTTTAGAATTTGGTTCATTAACTTATAAGGTCTCTGGTTTTTTGAATAGCTAACAATATTATTTTATTTTGTTAATAAATATTACAATACGCGAATAGTATAAATATAATTTTTTTGTAGAAAGAAAAAAATTTTACTATTAGATGTCAAATCATTTCATTACGCGTTATAAATATGAACTGTAAAATTATACTTTGTCTCCACAAAACTTAACACGTCTCGTCGTTTCTACAAAAGTATACATATATATATATATATATTTGTGTAGACGTATAAGCCGTGAACTTTATTGCACTTACATTTAGTTTTTTCGTTTCCGTAAACTTTCAATAGCTTTCTTTTCTTTTCCAGCTTCGTTTTATGCATTTTTTTATACGCATATTTTTTTTTTACTTTTTACCACTTAAGCTCAGACAAATGAACTTATAGAAAACCATATATAGTAAGTGCTCATATTTCCAACGTCATATGTGGTCACAACGAAAGCTATCGTTTGAAAAACATAAAAACTCTCAATTAAAAATTTATTTTTAATATTTTCGTCTGTGGATATTTTTAATTAAAAATAACGGAAAAGCAATTTTTTAATTAGATTATTTACACATAAGAACAGTGGAAATTAATGATTTTAAAGCAAATGAGAAAATAATACTATTTTCATATTATAATAGTAACGATTACATGCACACTATTGTGTGTTTTTGTCAACATCGCAATTAAGTATTATTACTATTTTTTTTTTTCATTTTACTTAAATGAATATTCGTTCTCAAATTCTTTAGCTTATGTTTTATATTTTAAATTTTTATGTCTATTCATACGTAACTTTTTTTATTTTTGAACTGTAATTTCAATCGTACGTTACCTTATTATATTTTACCAAAAAATTGCAAACATATTGTATCGACATTATACAACATAAATTAAAATTAAAATCATTCCAAATAATCAATCAACAATTTTGACGAACAAAATACATGTTAATTGAAAAGGATAACAAAGAACTATTAGAGTCAGTAATATTGTTTGTGTTCGAATTAAAAATAAATCACAAGTTTTTTGACTACGTAATTTTTTTTTTTATTAGACATTAATTATTTTTAACTATCGTCAAATATCAAACAAAACTTGGTTAATGTTATGGAATATAATAATAAAATGTAAATAATTAAATACTTATTAATATGATGATCGACGTAGATCATTAAAAGACTAAATACGATGATATCTTAATAATTAGAGAAATGAAAAAAAAAAAGAACAAAAACAAAATAAACAATTTACGAAATAATAATAAACGCGTAAAAACAATACGCGCGTAAACGATAAGCCTATGGATAATATTTAAATCTTACTGATAAAATTGGCACCGCGTGTTAAAAAATAAACAAAATAACGTCTTAAATAGCTTAAAAATAAAATAATGCAGGCGAGTTGGGGGAAAAAAAACAGAAGCCGGTCGGATACGAATGGCGGAGTACAGCCGATATCGGTATCTCGACGACATATTATACAGTACCGGACCACATGTAAGACGTTATCACACGTTCGAATGGTGTTGAGTTTGTTCGGTCGATCGATTTCCTGTCGAAAAAAAAAAGAACGTTCCGCGCTGCGGCGAAATCGATTTAGCGCACGCGAAAAGCAAAAAAAATATATATGGAAAAAACGGAACGAATAGCAAAAAAAAAAAAATAATAATAATAATAATAATATTTTCGTACACGACTACGGATCTCGGTCCAAATAAATTACTAACTTACGATGTATCGTAATAACTAACAAACACATAACATATGTGTATAAATATAACATAAATACCGTTGTAACAGGTACACGGTGGCGTGCAACGCGAACTAAAACTATTGTTTTTACATCGTCTTGTCGACACGACAAAAAAAAAAAAACCAATGGACAAAAATCAAAAATACAATTTTCCGGTCAAATGGGGGGGGGATGAACGACGGGAAAATGTGAGAAAACGTGCGGCGACTTGGCGCGCGTGTCCGGGACTGGGACAGGCTGGTCCGACGGGGAGACGTTTACAGGAAATCAGTGACGAACACCCGTTTCAGGTCGGGCACGCTGCCACCGTGGCGACCGCGGCCACCGCCGCCGCCGAGTCGTCTGCCCGCGATGCCGCCGAAGCCGCCACGGTGTCTGCCGCCGTGATGATGGTTCTGGTGCTGCGGTTGGACGAAGTCGCGGGGGTAACGACCCGCGGCCGCAGTAGCGTCCGCGGCCGCTTGGGCCGCAACCAGCGAATCGACCGACAGCACGGGCGTGAGTCGCGACTTGGCCCTTCGAGGAGTCGGCGGAGTTGGGGGCAGCGCTGGTTGCGGCGTCGAACCCGAACGCATTTGTCTGTGGTGCTGGTATTGGTTCTGTTGGTATGGCGTCTGGTGGTGATGATGGTGATGATGATGACGATGGTGCTGCTGCTGGTGCTGCTGGTGCTGCTGCGACTGCTGATGGTGTCTGGCACGTCGCGTGGGCGCCCGCTGATACGGCACTCGGCCACCGGCATTGGCCGCCTGCACCCCCGCCGCGACCGTCGGCTGTACGAGGGACGGTCCGCTGTCTGCGGTGACTACCGTAACGCCGCCGCCGGTCGGCCTGTCCGCGGCGGCCGCGAAATACTCGAAGTCGTCGTTGGCCGCCGTGGTGGCCGAGCACACGCTCCGGGCCGACAGCGTGGCGTATTCGCCCTCGTCGTCCTCGTCCACGCAATCGTCGCGGCGCTCGCAGCCGTCGTCCGACGAATCGCCGTCGTCGGCCACCGCAACCGCGGCACCGTCGAGTCCGTCCACACGGCGTCCGACGTCCGCGCCGCAACAGCCGGCGGTACGCCTGTCCTCGTCGCCATCCACCCCACCGCCCATATCGTCGTCGTCGTCATCGTCGTCCTGCGCGTACAACTTTTCGCGGAGCTGTTGCAAATTCTGCGGCAAACGGCTATCGGAAGGCCGGCCACCGCTGCCGCTGGTCGCCATGATGATCGCGTCGTCCAGGCTGTCTACTGGCGTGCACGAATCGTCCGTCATCGTTTTGCAATCGTCCGCGGCGATCGTTGACATGGTCGCCGATGCGGTCACCATGTTGGCGAACCGCAGCGATCGGTGGTGCTGCTGCTGTTGCTGGTGAAGGTGGTGGTGATGGTGTTCGTCGTCGCAGCAATGTCCTGCCGCGGGGTCAGAGGTTGAATGTACGAAGTGTGGAGGTAGTGGTGGCACCAACAGGCCGCTCATCGTCCGCACGCCTGAAACGTCAAAAAACTGTAATTATAATGCACCGTTTTTTAGATAACCGTTAAAAATCTCTCAAAACGACATGAAGAAACCGCCATCGGCTCCGACCTATTGATTCCCAACTGTGTACCCCTACAACCGTTCCATACGATAAGCACACGAAGCTGATGGCGTCGAAGTCTCTATGAAAACTACAAATGAATAAATATTGACCGTTTACGATTAAATGGAAAATCATAAAAACCATGCGTTTATGTATTTAAGATTTCACCGCCGGAAGCAACAACATGGTAACTAATAGTTTCTTGTCCATTAACTACAGCACATATATGCAGTATATAAAGAGTGATTTATTTTCCCCGTCACCGTAAAAAATATCTTCTTAAATACTGCCCAACGTGTTATAATTGACGTTTCTGACAAGGATCATGTTCGCAAGTCGTTTCGAACGGAAGACACGCGTCCGCGAATAGATGAATTATACCGAACAAGTTATGTTCACACTAATGTCTATCGTGATCGGAACGTTTCCACGTAAAAACGTATGACGCAACCCTAACCCTTGCAGATGTGATTCGTAATCAACTATTGTTCCGATTGTTACAACAATAATCTCGCGCTCTCTCAGCGAACGTGTAAAATGCTGACGACGGATTGTGCGCGTTCGCAGCGTAAATCGTTTTTTTCGTTCGGTTTCCGTGACGTATGGAATGGTTTACACCGCGTTAGTACCGGTGGTTAGGTAGTTCGCGGTGACATGATATTCGAATGTCAAAACTGCATGGTACAATTGTTTCGGTTAACCTACGCGATGCGAAACAATAACGCGGAAAACCTACGATTACGCCGAGCTACGATTACGGATTGCGGGTACCAAGGAGCGTAACAATAATATTAACATCCTAAACCGTTCGATTCAGCGAAACCCGAGGGTTCGGGGATGTCTTCCGTCACGCACGGCCCCGGCGTTGTATTTACCCGTAAAATGACGAATATTTTGGTGCAAAAGGGGTCGCGTGGCGGACATTTGTCGCCCGATAAGATACGTAAACATATAACAGCACGTCGGTAGACGAGTCCGATAAAGTTGTTTCGTGTACATCTAAATAAGAGATGTTAGAGATAACAAAGACGTAATATAGGATCGATGTAATCTGATCTTAAAATATACTGTAGGGATGAAGGCTAACACCGTTGGAGTGTGAAAGAAAATAATTTTCGATTGTTCGTGTTTAATGCAATTCATACGGAATCACCATTGGATCATAAAAACGCAATAACTTTTTCAACAATGTCAGTAGTGCGCGATGTAAGGGTTCCGATTTAATGTATACGCGTTAAAATAATACGATATCGACTGCAAACACCAAAAACCAAACTGTTCAGAAGAACCCGAACATCAATTAAATATTACCTTGTTGTACATTAATTTTTTTTCTATGTTATAGAAAAAAAATTGTTTAACATTCATTGAGCTTATCGTTTTATTATTGTGTTTTTGACGTACGGCATTGTACCGTAAACATTCGCCGCGCGTTTATAACAAATTGACTATGAATCAAAGGCCTGAAAAACGCAGTTAAACGGCATCGCGCGACCAACGATTTCCGATTGCAGTTTCGCTGCAGCAGGACGTGGGCTGCAACAAGTGTGTCGAACAACGTTTAGGCCCTATCCCGCTGCTGTCGTGTACAACATCGAAAAAACGTTACACGTACCGCTATACTCTGAAACATCAATCGAACATATTCGTCACGTGTACCGCAGTTGAGTAGAACGACGGGCGACCGAAATTCGTAGTCGCGATGAATTCACTATGAGTAGCGGCTCGTAGTAGTAAATATTCTCGGGAGACTAAATTTAGTGTTTTAACAACTCCAAACAAAAACGAACAAGAATTACACTATTATGGGAAAATTAATTATACTCAATACTTAATTTAATATTTAGTTAATATTTTTAACACTAACATTTTTTTATTAATTAATTCTATTCTCCCCGGCCCCTCCGTCCAACAAGCCAAACCATTACATGTTACGAGTCTCGAACAGTTTCAAAGTCTCCCCTGACGAACCGCCCCTGTTCCCGTTCATCATACGCTGTTATTGCGAACGCGAAGAGAAAAGTCAAAACCGATGCGTTTAACATTATTGGTGTGTGCCGCCGCCGCCGCCGCCGCGCCATCGTGTTACACGCTCGGCGGTGGAATAGCGTTGGACACGGGAACAATTTACTACGAATTATTACAACAATAATAATAATTGTTATTATTATTGCGGCCCGACGGCCCTCGACGTGTTCGAATCGCATCGCGCCATTCATTCGTGTTTCGGACGATTTTTTACTCGTTTTCCCCCCTCGTCATATTTGCGGACGCGGCGAGAACAGTATATTGTTTGTATATCGCTTTTATATATTTGGTGCGCGAAGGACGTGATAATTACGCGTTTTCCCCGCGTACGTATAATGATTACTAAACGGGTACATAAATATAGATCCAGCGTTATTATATATTATTTGTTAAACGTACCAACAAATCTTTTTGTCAGTGTTTTGTAGACCATCTGAGACCAACAGTTTTTAATTCTATGCCGTATGAATTTCAAAGAAAGTGCAACAATGCGTGATACTATTAAAATTAAATACGTAGTGTACAAATATTTGTTTTTGGAATTAGAGAAGAACGTGTAAATTACGTTTTATTATTCTTTGTTTATTGATTTTTGTAACATTTTAATAAGTATATAAACTATATTATATTATGCGTTATGCTTTTACAGTTTTAAAAATGTTTAGTTATATTTTTTATTTAATATATAATTTATATTATCTCATTATATTACATTATCTTATTAGTTTGTCATATTATTAAGTACGCTATGTTATGTATATTATTCAATATTTTCCAACTACAATAACTCCCTCTATTCAACACAAGCATAGCTTAAAGGAGAGAGGTTCATCGAATTTGTAATCTGTATTGTCTATTTTGTTGAAAAAAATACAAAAAATAAATATAATTTATTATGTACGGTAAGTATCTTAATTCCGCTGGTCAGCGGAATTATATGTTATATCGTATTACATGTTTTTCAGATCTTGGATTTCGATCCTATTATTTTGTTATTATTTTTAATGAGTTTGACATAATACTGTTCGAACGACGTGAATGTAATTCTACAGTGCAACAATCAAAAAACTAAACTTATTTAATTTTTTCCGATTATTAAAGTTTAAAGCCATTTTTTAATTATTCGTTTAGATTTTCCATTCGAGTTTTGACCTTTTTACAAAACTTTTTCAAATCAAACCTATTGGAAAAAATGTATTTGTATACTTTTTTTTCGCTTATAATTTATCAACTTTCAAATGCCATTTTAAATGACTATAATAAACAACAATTAATTAATTTAACGTATTTATTTGAGAACGGTTTTGAACGATTACGAGATCCATTAATAATCGTTTCTATTATATTAAGTACTAATATATTAGTGCACCAGTTATACTAATATTTACTCGTCAAGAGTATTATTTACTTGTACTGAGTTTCACTAATGGTCGTGTTCGGGTTAAAAAAGAGATTTTAATGATATGCGTGTACCCTAAACCGACTATAAATTACCGACTTGATTTAAATACGGATTTCACGAGTGCCGAATACAAAAATGCATCCGTACACGCAATGTTGTTATAAATATTTACTATCAGCACGTGGTGTTGCATCGAGGTGATTGAGAAATAAACGCCTACAGAGTGTGATGGTCGTTTATATTTTATTACTTTTAAATATAATCGAACCTAATGGAGAGGAAAAATCCTAATGTAAACATTGCACGAAAGCTTTGTGGAAACGAATGCTTTTGAACGAGGCTGGTGTACAATTTATCACAGAGACGATTTGATGTCGTGAGAGTTACGATTTCGTTCGCTATGGTGAAATGGGGTTTCAGGGCGAAAAAAAATTATAGTATTCTAAGAACATCAATTAGTTTTCGCAGCGCTAATGGACTAGAGTAATGTATATATCATTATTATAATTGTTGAGAATTGAACATTTAAAAAACAAAAAAAAAATTATCATTGAAAATCGAGAAAACGAAAGTTATGACATATTTTAAACTTGACATATTTTATTGTTTTAGCGCTTGCTGAACTATAGAACTATAGAACGTTCACTTTTTTTATTGTAATATAAAAAACTTATAAAATTATCAAAATAAACTTGTCACACAAGATGGATAAAGGTAATATTTCCAAATTTTTTATTCTAGTTTTCTATTTGTGCCGAAAAACTACATATAAACTTAAATGCAACGTTTTAAAAGTACCGTCCTCGTCGAATTTCTTATTTGTAAAGTTGTTTTAGCGTACGATTTCTTGTATAGATTTATTACGGATGACAAAACCAAAATTCAATCGCTCAAAATTTAAAAAAAAATAAAGAGTAAGATATGGTTTGGCACAGTCTTGATCGACCCATCTATAACCGAAACGCATAACGATGGTATCGCGAAATAATAGGACAACGAGAAAACTATTTTTCCGAAACACGCAATAAATATTGAACGTATAACCATGGAGTGGCAATATTCCTGCATATACTAAACATTTCTGATAAATCATTGATACACCACGTCAACTCTTAGAGTAAGGGAAATTCGTTAACTGCATCGTATTCAAACATCTGTACCTATAAAAAAAATCGTAAAACGCTTTTTAAAGAGATAAATCTAAAAGCTGATTTAAGCGAGCTAAGTATCTCAAAAATTATTCTCGTTTCCAATTGACTTCCTCTTTCTCGAAATTATCTATAATACGAGTAACACGCTGTATAAACCTATATAAGTTTTAAAAAAGTTATACTCATCAAACAATTATTTATATTGTGACTTACATGACTTGAACCATTTAATAAATAAAACTTTCAAAATTAAATTCGGAAAACATTATTTGTAAAGTTCAACGTAACTATAAACCCTCTCCCCTCGTTATTTATAATACTGACTATTACTATTATTATTTTATGTTGCTTAATAACTGATTGTTAATCATAATTTACTAAAATAATGTTAAAATCCATATAATTGTCTATCTACTACAATATTTTCGACGAAAATGTACATTTAAATTGTTTTATTTCCACGTATAAATTAATCCCTAAGGATGAGTTCTCCTTTGTTCTATAATTTGTGTCATAGTTTGGTTCACTACAATATTTTCTTTTTAGGGTTTTTTTAGGGTTTGTGTAGTATAAAAATATGATGTTTCGCGCCATATTTTTACCATTATACAGTTTATGAAGAGGTGCCAAAACGTTACACATAGGTCTTTACAGATAAATCATGTTTTTATCGAGCCTATTATCAAAGTCATACGAGCGCAGACTCCATTTATTTTTGATCCATCTAATATACCATGTACCAGTAACAACTTAAAGGGGGTGTGTTCAAATCACGTGAATTGGAAATAATTCATCACAGTGATCAGTTATTCAGCTATTCATGTATTGTAGATTTATCAAGTGAACACAAACGTTTCGAAAACTATTAAATTATTATAAAATATTCACAGAAATATAAAAACTTATTTTACATATTTTACATCACTTCAATTGAATAATTAAAAATTAAAAAAATGTTTTGAGGGCAGTGTAAAAAAACCATTACACGTGATCTGCGGGGAAAAAAGTTCGAATCGTCACTAGTAAGTACGACGTACCTATTTATATTTTATATTTATTTGTACCTATATAATAATATTATTCCTACGAGCTACAGTTATGATTTAATAATAAATATAGTGTATTAGCCATGGGGTTTTTTGGTGATTAATTCTATACATTTAACTACAACAATTAGACGATTGATTAAATGTAAATTTATATAATCACCATTTTGTAGAAAATCAAATTTAAATTGATTTTATGTTAAAAATATATAGTATGATATTTTTAACCGTTCGGTGTATACCTACGTTTCAATAACTGTAAAAAATTATTTATAGAAAATAAAGGAAATATTTCGTGTTTTATTATTTTTTTCGGAATAATATTAATATACCAGAAATTATCTAAATATATTTTTTGTAGACCATAATAAGATCTACAATTAATGTTCTATACAATTCTACACTATATGTAATAGTTTGTACAAAATATGTTAAAATTTCCTATTTTTTCCTATTTTCACTAGTTTAATAAAAATTCATACTTAATGAGGAACCTCAAGATATCAATATATTTATTCTTAACTTAACACACTTTTTTTGATGTATATACACATATTTTAAGAGCTAATAAAAGTTTGATTTGAAAAAATTAAATCATTCCACCGTTAGATTATAATTTTAACATACTACGTACAACAATTTACATAAACGCGCAATGAACGTTTTTGAACGCAATGAATTTTAGTTCTTCCACGGCAGCACGATGCGTTACATTCCGTCGTGTTTCGTATTGACACGCGACTGCGAATACTATAATTTATTATAATATCAGTACTTGCTGCAGCATATCACTGGACGAAACTACGACGGACGTCGTGAAACTCATGTTGTCCACAACACAATAACGCTACGATGACGACCAACAACGTGCGAGTGAAAGATGAGAGTGGGCCGTGAACAGTTATAATAACAATTTAAACATAAACATATTCATATGGTTGCAGATTTGCGGACCGTAGTGATGGGTGAATCAATCTTTTTAATCAATTTAAAAAGGAATAAAAATATCGATCCAAAAACAGATCGGTAGCAAAAAATCTCTTAAAAATCCATTCACTTTAAATGATGTTTTTTTTTTTCAATCACTCTTTGCAGATTTTCCTGATATGAAATGTGTAATAACTTTTAGTAATGGCCGATTCTTGAAAGTAAATCGATTTATATGGCAATGAAAAGTTCGTGATAAGAACAAACGGAAGTGTCAGCATCGTGAAAAGATCCGAAATCGAATCAAAAATGGATAGTGAATCGATTCGCAAAAAATATCGTGTCAACGATTCGGTTCATGAAAACGAATCGATTCACATAAAAAATCGGATTAACGATTCGAATCGATCTTCACAAAAATTAATCGATCTTTTAAAATATCGGGTCGTAGAGAAGATTCAAAAAATCGATTGATCGCATGAAAAAGATCGACTAAAATTGCGTTTGTTCATGGCGTTGCTGAGATCTCGTACTTTAAGACTACAGACGGCTTGCGCGCGTGTCAAGAGGGGTCACTGGAAACCAAGCGGTTTTTCGGGTAACGAATATGCGACACAGATAGGTACATGCAGCTCGACGACTCGTTTCCAAGACCCCCTGAAGCCATCGCCGAACTTGTGACCACGTTTCACGGGTACGACAAGGCGTCGTTAGACAAACCGGTCCCATCTCTCTCTCTCTCTCTCTCTCAGGTCCGTCTCCTCTCGCAGAAAAAGAAAACTTAACACGTGTACAGTAATAATAATGATACGCTACGCGCGTGATAGCCGCGGAAACACGTGGAGTCACTTTACATACGTATTTGGTTATACGCTTGGAGGTTGACCGTCACCGGTTCTAATAACACCGCACAACAGCCTTCCCCAAAACGAAATCTCGACATAGTTTTCGTTTTCCATTGCACTACGAATAACGCGCGCGCTGTGTATTCGAGTGTACAACGATAAAAAAAAAAAATCTATTCGAAATGTTATTGTTAACGAGAAGCTAAAGTATCGGAAACGACAGCGTATGGTGACGTGTCCGTTGTACAGGTGTATGTTGCGACATGTCCGTTGCGTTGTCGTTGGCTTTTCATCGCGAGAAATTTCCGAAGGAAACGAGAAAACACACGTTACGCTCGTAATAACGTACTGGTGGCGAACTGTCCGCTAACGCTATTGTCGCGCGTACCTGTTCATAAAAATGTGTCGGATTTTTTTTTATTATTATTATTATTGTTAATTTTTATCTTTTTTTTATTCGAGAAATTTCGCATGCACACGTCGTCCGTCCGACGCGCGTACATTATGTATTCTCGTTGTTATACATTATGTACGAGAACCGCACCAGCCGGCACTATATTCTGGTAATAATAACAACAAAAACGTACGGTTGCGAGGCGCATTCCATCGCGTGTACGCGCGCGTAACATATTATATTGTATTCGAGAAAGTCTCGCAGATGCGCGGGATTTGGCAAACTACTGCGTTCGGTGCATACGAACGCGAAGGTTTTTACGACCGAACGGGTTATGACGGTCGAACGGACATGACCGGAGGTGCGCATAATGCAAATATCCACCGCGGTCTAATCCTGTGTTGTAATTACGATTGGCATGTCCCAACTGAATGCCTGACTCAGAAACTATCGATTCTATGGAAATATTCGAAAAAATATTCAGTATTTCCACTTTCGATAAATATCGACTGTTGATATTACTTTTATCATTAAATAATATATTAATAAATAGGTATAATATGTATAGTAGTACAGTCGTACGTTGAAGGATTGTTGGGGCTTTGAATAATTTTTTACCTTACAATCCTCCTCCCCAATCCCTGAAATTAATTTTAAGATCTGCAAGTTTCGGTAGGTACTTCGGATTACTATCAATTATTCGATAAATAAATATCGAAATGTTCAATAGTTTGTTAAAACATCGAATATAAAAATATATTAAATATATAAATAGTATATATAAATAGTATATATATATACTATATATATGTATTATTTATATTCAATAGTCAAAATCGATAGTGCCCATCTTATTATAATGTCGCGTATGGATACCGAACGCGCACGAAAATTCACTGTCGTTCCGCAAGTATCGGACACGATGTAGTCACACGAAAACGAACCGTCGAAAGTAATCGTCGACCCGGAATACGGATAATACCAGTGCCTAACTTGATAAAACTAAAGAGATGAACTCTGTTTGCTTTAAAAAAAAAGAGCGTCACCAAAACTTGTTAAGCGTTATAATTATAACGTAATAACAGTAGAGGGACGCTAAAGTTTCTGGAAATCAGTTGGGGTACTCCATCCCTTGTGTCCTCTCTCAAATCGAGCACTGGATAATACGCAACATCGTAACGGTTCGCGGGAATAAATATATCACCTTTTTCAACGACAGCGCGTCGCCGCATACTCCGTTCGAGCAGTAAATAACGGACTTCTTAGAGTGCTCAAAGCTTACTAAGACGTGCACGTTGTATGTACGCTAACGCGGTCTCGTATCTTTCACGGAATATTTTCGTTGTTTGAGCGTATATGGAGATAAACGTTTCAACTGCTGCATTATGACTTTACGTTTCATATTTTATTTTTAAACATTTTTTTTGAAGTATAAAAATTAACATGTGGCGCACGGGAAAAAAATTATTTTTACGTTATTAACGGTGACCGGTTTGTTGTTTTCGATTTCGGGCGAACGGAACAATGTATTTTGATATCATTTAACAGTGCCGATACTTATTTAGGATTTTCTTCGGTAAACATATAATCCTCAGCGATAAACGAGAAATTGTTTCTATGCACGCGTACGTATTTATACGAACCTCGTCTGTAATTGTGCAAAACCGGAACTCTGCCGTCCAAGCTGGCGAACAAAGATCCGTTGGTGATGGGAAATCGGACCGTTTCGCCATTACTGGTGCCGCCACTGTTGGAAGACTGGGTAGGCCTTCGGGCGTCTTGCAACGAACCGTTGTACGGCCGGAACTTGCCGTGTAGACCTGCATGCAACGTAAATTATACATAAATTGCAGAAATTATATTATATTAGTTTTAAAAAGATTTTAATAATAATAATATATTTTGTCTAGAAAAAATCTATAAGAATGTATAAAAAAAATATATAATATGTAAAAGTAATTTTATGAGCTAGTAAAAATATTTAAATTACGTAATTAGTATTTTTATATATTTAGTTTTGTGTCGAGGATATCGTTCAGGGGTCAAAAATCATAGAGTTCATTATAATAAACATTTTGTGAAAAATCCTAATTATTTGAGAAGTACAAACTCCAAAAACTACCCTTTTTCGGTACCAGGAGTTTACGAATCTCTCCCAATAAACTTATTGTGTATATTTGTGTATGTGTATGTGTGTGTGGTATGCAAGTGTAACAGTGTTCATTTACAGTAGTATTTTTAACGGATTTAATCGTTTACTTGATCTTTGAGTATACAATGTTATTGACGTTGGCTTGATAATATATATAATATCAATAATATATAAGTATCCTAGCAATCCATCTCCTACCGTCCGATATTCGGTCACTTCGACTGAGTATTTTATATTTATGGGACGAAATACACTCTTTCGCTTCAAGAAAAGTAATTTACTGCGCCGCAGGAGTATAGTGCGTTTTTACACATATATATATATACATACGTATATCATTATTTCCATTTCCGATTTTTCGGTATACAACGGTTACGCTATAAACAATATCAGATATATATATATATATATATATTCATATGTTACACAATTTTTCGAGAATCCGATATTTTATGTTTTACTAGTACATATATTTTTCGTGTGTTATAACTAAAATGCGTTTGTTTAATAATCTTTATTTTTCATAGCTATCGTAATAATATTTTTCTAAAAGTACAATGGTTTAGTTGGGAACACTTCACGAGAAAAAAAATATTGATTACAATGTTTTATTCTTATATATTGAGCAAGGAAATTAAATGTTTACTATAAAATCAATTTAACATCACTTCAACGTAGTCTCTCTTTTTGTGTGCACAACGTATTTCGGGTACATATTTATTTCATCGTAGTTTTCTAGGCAGTTATTCTGAATATTCAAATCGTGTTTTGTTAAAATAACAAAATAATTCAAGATAAACAAATCCTTTTATTTTGACAATTTTATTTTTTGAAAATATTTTACGTTATGATTTTTTTAAGCACGCGAATAATATCTTATAAGAATTTATATTAAAACAAATTACGCTACAAACGGATGTACGTATTTCCATGATTAAATATTAAACAAATATTTATTCCAAACGTCGTTTAAAAAATACTGAATTTAATGTATATGCATCAAAAAGGATGAAAAGTAATGCATGTATAATATTATATTTGATGCACGACATACATGTGAATATGGTATTTTCATGTAATATGTACGTACATAATTTAATCATGTTTTCTATTTTACGTCATCGTTATGTTAATAATACATATAATATAATGTATTAAAATTATATACTCAAAGTATACAAAAAAAAAACAAATATCTAAAAATTATGTAATGATAATACTAATATGTATCAACGTATGTACTTTGAAAACGAGTGAAAATCAAATCAATACGGGAACGATCTGCATAGTCAACTTGTATGTAATGTCATAGTCACATGATATTTACGTGTTTATATTCTACTAGAATCAGTCTTCTAATGGAAACAGATGAATGGATTTCAGCTTTTCTTTCGTCATTTTGTAATGCATAAAAATATAGTATTTATTATTATACATATATGTGTACGTATTGAACGTACTGTATAAGAAAAATAATTTCTTAATTACATTTATTTCCATGGTTCAGAATCCAGTACAAAAGGGAGAGTTCACTGTGACTGGATATAATGTAATCTTATCCTTCGTAGAAACTCCCTTAAGCTCCACAGAGATTTTCAAAAATAATTATTAAACCTTCATAACTGCTCGAACCTTGTTCCGTTCGCCTCGGGATTCGACTTAAACTCGATTCTAACGCGTTGTGATAATGACAATATTTACCTTGAGGTGGTTTTGCTCTTTCGGAAGCGCTTCGCCTGCGGTACAAGTTTGACAATCTTGGCACAAACTGGTCATCGAACAACAGTAATATCACCGGCCAAAGACACGCTTCGGCCAAAGCTGCAAGCATAGGGAAATTTTTGACAACCGGCGCGTAATCGGCAGAAAACACGAACTTTGACGGGATGAAATGTTCCGAAGCCATCAGCACCTGTGTAACATTGGAAGCGTGGTAATTATAAAAATTAAATAATGTTTATATTATAATTACTCTATATACACCAAACCACGTATAATTATTTCCATGCATAATTACGATGGCTGTCGATATACCTTATATACGCGCACGCACATATACACACACACACACACACACACACACACACACACACACACACACACA